AAAAAGAAAAGAGAAGAAAGAAACGGAAAAAAGGGAAAAGGAAAAAAAATATATATATAAAGAATCGTATCCCTGAGAAACGAGGAAACGATCAGCGATGCATAAGCGGCTGCCGATACAATCGTGCGCCGGTAGAGAGAAATTGAAATTCTTATCCGAGGCGTGCGCGGCTGAAAGGCTCTCGCGAATCGCATAAAGGCCTCATCAGAACGATCGCTCGAATATCCTCGTTCAAGTCCCGTCGAGGCAAAACGCGAAGAGGATGGTGGAGAGGGCCAAAAACGGGGGAATAAAAATGGGGGTAGGGGGTTGACGGAGGCGCTGGTGGAGGTGGCGTTGGATATAGCTGCGGGTTAGGCATACTGGGAAAGGTGGTGGTTGGTCGGGGGTGGCGAGCATAGAGGGTGGGCAACATAAAAGGCCAGCAACCCCTATTCCACGCAGGCTTCAATTGTTTCGGTTAGGCAGCGTTCATTTGTTTTTCTTTGCGTGTGCTTTTGCACGCTCCTCCGCTCTTCTCTGCTCTCTTCTTTCTCTTTCTCTTTCTTCTTTGCATCCTCTATCACTCCTTACTCTATTACTCCTTTCTCTTCTTCTTCCATTCCTTCACTCGTTGAATCGTCCTCGAGTTCTTCCCGTTTTGCTTAACTTTTCTTTGCTCGTATCTCTCTTCTTCTCGATCCTCTATACCAATTTTTGTTCGTGGATTAAATATAGATCGCCTTTTCCCCGTCGTTGCTCGTTCATCTCGCTCACTCTTGTCGCGCGCTATATTAAAATCGACCATTGTTATCGTAGCCAGAGGGGGGGGGGGTGATTCGGTAGTGATTTCGGTTTGGAAACGGGGAACTTCGTCAGCGGTCTTCAACGCGACCACAAAGATCGCACTCTTCGAAAGCTTTTGAAATACCTCCCGTGAATCCCGTCTTGCACGACCGAATCGAGCACGCAAAACCTGTACACCCACCTGTGACCTGTATTCGCTTTTGAAGACACACGTGGTAATAGATATTGTACGATTTTGTTTTTAATTCTTCTTGTTTATTCTTTCTTCCTTCTTTTTCTTCTTTAATCCTCTATTCTCGATTTCGTTTAATCGAATCTCGAAGACTCATCGAGTCCTTGTTAGTAGATTTCAATTCATTCAAATTGATCCAATTTTCATTGGTCGAAATACGGTTAATTATCCCGGAAGTACTTGGGGGGAGGGGGGATAGTTTTATAGAACGCAAGGGCGTGGAAAATTTAATATTAGATCTAATCGATGGGATACCTCTTCTATCTTGGAATAGCGCGCGAAGAGAGGCAGATGTTACCGAAATAATTATAATTTACACCTGCCCTGTAATAAACGAAAATTCACTGCGGATAGTCCAATATCTAAACCGATATCGCAGCGTGGGATAGCCGGTGAATTAGGCGGTGTCATCTGCAGGCGTGAAATTTCGGGTGGGTTTAACCGTAACGCCAACAGCTGACAGGATCGACGCGATATCCTATATAATAACCCTATTGGTGAACTATCCCGGTGACGGATCGTCGATCAATTAATCAATAAAATTCGGCTGAATTTCCTATCGGTAAAACGATAGATGTCCACGCGTTTTCTATTCATCGTTAACCGGATCCGTGTAGAGAATTTCCCAAAATTCGTATAGAAATCGAACTATACAGGTATTGGGCCACGTATATTCAACATCTCGATCAACTCTTCGTCGATTGTCTCGTCTCCAACTCCAATCGGAGGGGCTAGCACAATTTTATTTCAAGTAAAAAAATCTATATCTCTCGCCGGATAACAAAATTCCAAAATTCTCTCGCGCGGCGACGATTCGCTTTCCTCGACCTAATCTCCGCATCCTTGTGCGGCGACGTGCACCAATAACCGTTATTTCGCTTAATCGTCGTGTCCGTGTAATTGACATTTCAACATAAAGCAGCACTGGATGTCGTCACGTCGTCGTCCCGTTTGACGCGGAGATTTTATTCAAGAACGAACGACTGGTAACGACTCATTAGCCGCGATTCAAGATTCTTGAAGCCGAGAAGAACAAACTCCTTTTCCTTGGTCCATCGTGGCTCCATCCCCTCTCCCCTGTATCGATTCCGCCCATTGGATCCGTGTGTTCCTCGCGGCGCGGCATACGCGAATAAATCGTGGCTTCGTTACACGCGACTCGAAGGCGGCAAACAAATAGGGTTAATTCCACGTGCGCCTGCTAGCCTGAATACGTCGTTTCCGAATGGAGGTAATTCCGGTGACAATGTGGCCTTTGATTTCATAGAACCGCACGGTTGAATGACTACCCTCCCCACCCACCGCCTCCTCCGACCACCCCTCGGTCCCTTCAACTCCGCGAAAACCCTCTTCCATCCTGGTGCAGCGAATATACATATAATAAAGTAAAGTCAGCCACCGCCAGCTCCGGCCAACCCGGCCGAAAGGACTTTATTCAGTAACTAGCGATTCATGCGAAATCGTGAATCCGTTTCTGCCCGGCTTCGCTTCCACCTGCCCCTTCCTTCTCCTGCTTCCTTTTCCGCACCCTTTCACGCAATTCGTTTCTCTCCCTCGGTCGGTGCACCGCGTTCGACGTATTCGTCCTCCTCCTCCTCCTCTTCGTCGTCGTTCTCGTCGCGCCGCGGTGAACGGTGAACTTTCATGATTTCTCTAGCACGCGTAATGACGTATCGATTTAGATTCGAAGGTAGGGAATCGGAAAAATCGATGGGTCTTTTCTGCTTTGCGGATCTTGGATACCATTGAAATAGGGGAGAGGAGGGGAAAGTTACAGAAGCGTTTAATTCGATCGATAGTATATCGAACATTTTGCAAATTGACTATCCCACCCTCGAGTTGTAAAATTTATATAAATCGCGCGTGCGGGACAAACGAGCGAATGCTCTTTCCTTAATGCAGGGAAAAGCGTATCGCGGCGGGTAGCAAATCTACGCATTATGCAGACCGATAAGAGGCGCGTAAATGCGTGCTCGTTTGTCCTTAAAAAGCGAGAGATGTAAAGTGGGGAATCGTGTCTTGATTTTTCTTAAAAATTCAATTCGATTGATTATTCGTCGATAATATTCGATTCGTTTCGAGGAAATGATTCGCGGAGGATTTTCTCCGGTGACTTTGGGAAACTTGGGAACGCGGAGGAATCGCGTGGAGAAGGAGAAGTTGACGTTTCATCCGGTCGCATTTTGTCGCGTGGGGCCCCTCGAGGAAATTTTCAAGAGGCCCCCTGTCACGTTCGTATTTCGAAGATACATAGATAGGTAGAGAGAGGGGCGAAAGGTGGCGGTGTTGGTCGCGATGGGTGGTCGGTAGGGGGTGGTTGCTCTGCTAGAACGAGAAGAACGCGAAGTCGGTAGGGGGAGAAGAGTTTTCGCCGCATTCGGTACTCCTCCGGCTTGGAAATATTTCCGAGGATTCAGCGAGTTTATTAAGGCTATTCAGAGCGCGTCTGCCTCTGAGACAGCATTGTGGATACAATTTAGTCTTATTCATCCCTTCGCGGATGTCTAAATATTTTCAACCCCCATCCCACACCCTTCGTCTTTCTTTCCCTTCCTCGCTCTTTGTGGATCGCCTTCTGCTTCTCGTTTCTCTTTCTACGGCTTCTATAAGACCTGT